AAGTACATCATCCACCTTACGGGAGTAATCATCGATTTTTTGGATATATAGATAAAAGTGCTCAACCTCTTGCAATTTGTAATGTTCAATCATTTCAGCTAGTAGTAGCCACTTTGTCTCATTTCCAAACATCGGTGAAAGGCAGAAAGACAAGATATATCTGTCAGCTAACAATAAATAATATACTCAATCAATACTTGCAATAAGGAGATTTTACCTTTTCTAACAAGGACAGGGACCTGGACAGTCACATCTGCAAACCTTCTATAAGTGATACTCATGTAAGCAGCTCGTTCATGTCTGCAGCAATGGACGACATGCTCGGGAAAGACAACGGATCTGACGGGGGGACCGAGCTCGACCTTGCGTTCATCAAAATAACGACAATACACTATGTGCCTAAAGGTAACTAAAAGGTTCCCTAAAACAGGATACCGAATTTTTTTTGTACAGGTCAGTGCATTTATAAATAAGTTGAACGAAAGTTCTGCCGCACCATTTTTGATCAAAACTTCTTTCTGTAGCTATAGTCTTGCAGGCATCGATATTGTTTGAAAGGAGTAATGACACGTTGACTACTCTTTACTGATCCCTGATTGCAGTGGTAAAAATGGAAAAATGAGCGAAAATTTTTCAAAAAGTCTAAAAAATTTTATCTGAGCAATATCCAGTCAATAATATTGTTTAGCTTTCTGGTTGCCTCATTCCAAAGCAGAACTTGTGCTGATCGAGCTCTCCTTCGAAAGTTGTAATTTTCGGGAAAATGGCAGCGGAAAAATTGATAGGTTTGGTATTATCGAAAATTCAATTTCTCATGAAAAAATCAGCCGATTTTTGCTCACTCAAAAGAGGGTGGTCAGAAAATTGTATACTGTTTTGGTTATTGCACAATTTTAGATTTAGCAAGCTTTTTCCATTTTCGTCTCCGCATTCAGGGCTTGGTAGTAGTAAGCAAGATGATTCCGATTACCAAAATGGAAAGTTAGGATTTTCTCAAAATAGTGCGACAGTATTTGGTCCGACCTCATATATTCATTTAATTTTTCTTTT